CAAAAATGGAAGCCTCGGCTTAGAGTCAATATTTCGTTATTTTTCATACAATATTTCCACACGTTTTGAAATGGCACACGTGTTTCTGAATATAATCAGAGGACGCATTGACATTTTCAATGTCTTTTAGCACGTGAAAAATTGTCTCGTACGTAATTCCTTTTAATATACTTTCGACTTTCCCATTTGCGCAAACAGATCATATATACTATAGTTTGCATGTGTTATTAACGTCATTTTAAGCCGTCAGTCGAAACGTTGATATGAATTATTTGCAAATTAAGCGTTTTGGGTAAATTTATTACATCGCAAAAATAGCGAGTATATTTACCACTCTCCGTACTGGATTAATTTTTGGTTACGTTCCGTTGGGACGTATACGCTCCACACGGCACGGAACGTGTTAAAATAATAATGTAAAAATAAGTGTCATTGTACGGAATATATTTAAGTCATAAGACATACATATAAGAAAATTTCTTCACAATAACCGTATCCAAATCAGCAACTTATTTGTGCAGAGTATACGTATAGATTTAAAAAAATGGGAGTTCGCAAAATATTACAGCAGCAAGATTGTATAATCTTATGAATGAATTTCACTATTGCTTTACGATTTCCTAAATGCACCGTTGCTCCAGACGTCAAGCATAACTTCGTCGGTCAGTTACCTCCGTAATGCATAAGGACTGCGATTGCAGCCGTAAAATTAAGTTTTCTTCTCCGTGACATTTGAAGTAACGATTTTGTCCCTGACAACTGAACATAATTTTTCACCAGTTGGAATCTTATCGCTGGTAAGCACTTCTCTTGTAACAATCAGACATCATATTATGAATTTCTTTATACCCACATTCCTTTGGGTTCTAGTTCTACGTACTAAGAACTCGATCAAAGGCTGCCCATCATAACCTTTAACGTATCAGTTTGTTGAATAGGAAAATAATCATTCGAATTACAATGGTTCAGCTGTCGGTAAGTTAAACAATAGGGAAGACCTAACTTATCGGTTGAGTGATTTGCCGTGGATGAAATTTCCAAAGACGTTCCGTAGTACGTCGAGAGGATTGCTAGCTGAGTAATTCGTTGCAAAATATTTCCAAGAAGTGTGAATGAAAGTCAACAGTTGTCCTTTGTTCTCGAATCGAAGTAGTCAGGTATGTAGTTCGTTTAAAAAAGACGGTACGAAATTCTCGTTTACTATCGATCCATCGTTCGTTCAGCATGAAGATATTATATAAAAGATCGATTATTTTCACGGTACTTTCTACAGCTCTGAACATTATTACTTCGATTATTTCGCATTTCTGTCCAAGCTCTTCATCCTTCGCTGTTACGCGGTAAGAAAATAATATCGATACGAAATTACGTGTTGCAATTCGAATACGGAGATTTCATTATAGGCAATTTTTTTTAACATTCAATTCAAATCAATTTTATCCTTCTCACGGTAAATAATATTTTCACACGTTTCAAAGAAGCTGCGCCGTCATGATTTATGTATAGACAATTTTTCCTTACGAATAAATGTTACGTGTGAAATTCACGATTATGGCGGAAATTCTTAGTTCTCGCCTTTTGCACTGTGCGATCGACGTACACTTCCAATAGTCAATTACGAGGATCATTGCAATTTACTACGGATTCTAGTCAATGTCAAAGTTCACTAGGAATCATTAAGAAAAAAAAAAGTGGTTGATCGAAACCAACGAATGCTATTTTCCGTCACTTTCACTGCGCATGGCTAACCTCCTATCTCCGAGGATCGGAGAAATTGTGCCATTGGTATTTCCTGGCTGAAGGAAAATCAGGAAGAATTCGCGTAATGATCTTTTAATGAGAAAAGCTAAAGCACTAAGAATTCAAAACATTCCGAACAACGTCGGTTGGTCACGTGGGGACAATTTCGACAGACGTGTTAAAGAAATCACACGATACGCAAGTGACAATAATTCACTTCCAAAAGTGTCACGGATCTAGTAAGACAATTTGACGATTCGAAAATAAAATTCAAAATTTAATGTCTTAGACAATAATTAAATTTCGAGCCGTCAAAAACTCTAATGATATTTTTGCAACACCGTACGGAAAGTTCGCAGCTTGTGCACCAAAAAATAAGCACGTAATGGTCCATTCTCGAGGAGTTCAGAGTGTGCAGAAATCAAAATATTCCCGATAATAAAACACGAAATTTCGTGCGAGCATTTTATGATTCCCGCGCACTCTGGACTCATCAAGAATCGGCCATTTTGTGCTTCTTTTTGGTGCGTAAATTGCGAACTTTCCGTACAGTGTTGCAAAAAATAGTATACGATACGTTCGCGTATCTTCGTTACTTGCGATACGTAACTTCCTGTACTTGTATCATAATGTACTATTACCGTACAGTTTTTTGATATGTACAAAATCAGTATTCAATATCGCTATACAGATATACCCTATGCGTAAATACCAACAACGTACGCATTACTATGACGATTATGATTATTATACTACCTTAAGCCAACCGATAATTGCCTCCAGTGACGTTTGACGTAATAGGTAAGCAAGCAGGAAAAGTACGCGTGCAAATCCAGACGCTGAATGCCCGATCGACGCCAAGTTCCTTGTCTATTATTTCACATATACGAAAGTTGCGTGTTGAGCGCAGCCACGTTAGATAATAGATGGAGAGAAGAGTACGGACAGATTGGCATACGGATAGGACTCGAGAGGCTGAGAATGGGGAGAGGGAATGAGAGAAGTGTCTAAGGAAAAGGAAGACGGAGAGAGAACTACACTGAGGACATCGTGAGATCCAAGAAGATTCCATTTCTAGTTTCTACGTACACACGTACAAGTCCACGTACACAATTCACGCTCTCGGATCCTGATTGCGAGTATGCGATAGGTAGGTACACGAGATTGCAGATTCCTTCCAAGAGACGCCGCGGCTTTTATGGAGTTATTCCAGCCTGAAACTACTGGACGTTGAACCTAATAAGAAAGAGCCAGTTTGCGGATTAATATTTCCGGGAAGATAATTCGAAGATATTCCAAAATTAAATTTAGAATAAATGAAAACAGCTCTACAGACATTTCAAAAATAATATGAACTAATTAAAAGAAAGCCAATAGTACGAATCAGCGGTGCAATGTAATTCAGGTCTTAGTACGCTGCGGTGTAGCATACAATATTCTAAGGTACGTTAAAGATAACTTGACCCAAGGCTTCGTACTTCTTCAAGGAAGTTATCAGATATAAGAATCACGAGACAGTCTGCTTCTTGAAAGACGATAAGAATTCCGATCAACCGATTAAATTGAGTAATATTGCGGTTTATTCGTACTACGTAAGACCTCGTGTCATTTTTAATATTATTAAATAATAATATACTCGCAATAAGTTCGTATACCCATTACCGAACATGATATCTGTATGATATCCAGAGAACGTCTAACGCCTGACATCTCTAGGCCATGCATAGGATACCTGTATACATACAGTATGTGTATACATATAATTAGCATGGCGACAAGAGTTTACGATTATCTTTTATATTTCCCATTGTCGTTTTCATGTACAGGGTGTCCAATAGGAAGTTGCTGAAACTAATCGGCAGAGTTTCTTCTATTTAAAGCAATTTGGCTTTTCTGATTCTGTGCACGTGTTTTTAAATGACAGCCGATTAGTTTCAGCAACTTCCTATTCGACGCCCTGTACTTCGGGCAGGTTTACACCGAGCGTTATGATAAGTGCAGTTTGTTCATTTACTGTTTTACCGATCGATAGCGAATCATTGATCGCATCGTTTTACCATTTTATTATTAGTCTACCATATTTTTCACATCGAATGATTTTTAACCCATTTCATTAAATTGACTTTTATTAATGCGCTAAGACGGAAATTTCTTTTATCCTCAAGTCGCGCCGCCATGACTGGCCCATCGCAAACTTGCCGGATGGAGAATGTTTAGTCGGTAAAGGAGATGCCCGATAGAGTTACGACGCAAGCGGAATGGAATCCTTCCTTCCTTTCCTTATGGCTGCCTACTTCAATGAGGAGATGTGCCGGGCGGAATGGAATCAGAGCCAAGAGTGTGGAGGACAAGGCGGATAGGATATCGTCTGATCCCATTTACTATTCTCAATCAGCGTTGCTATGCTTAATATCTCGCAATAGCACTGAAACTATCACAGACCCATCCTTTGACTGGTACTGAATATCGAAGAAGTCATCCGAATCCTATTCAAGATCGTTCAGAGTCCCTCGAGTAAATTTAAACCTACTCTCGTTATGCTTCGAGGAGAACTGCGTACGATTGTGAAATTTCATTTATAAGACTATGCTCAGAATTGGACTCATCGGAAACTCCAAGAAAAACACTTTTTTCTTTTCTCCTTTTTGAGCAAATATCATTAGAGGCTACTTACGCATGTTATGCATACGACACGAGTATTTCATACGTAACTAATATACCAATACTGTTTTTTTTTATCAATGGACACATGCGTTGGTCACGTTGTATAATGTGAGTTATTTCCGAATATCGTTATACGTGTAATTGAGGTTAGATAGATGACGCCCTCTATAAATACATATTTACACTAAAAAAAACAAGTCACAGCTGTTCGCATCACCTGTGTTTAATTTTTCGTATACTCTTTTCTTTTCGCTACTTTAAAAAAAACAAAAACGTTTTCATTAAAAATTGCCGAACGTTGAACTCGCGTGGATGCTCGGTTATTATCGCGTAACAAGCCGGCGAAATGGAAATTGCAAGAAAACAATATAAAAAAAAGCAAAGTGATTCCGTTTCACGTTCTGTGAACGATACCCGAGTTTCTTCGCTTCGTTGCACAATCGCAAGGACGTCGTCTGGCCAATAGCGTATCTTCCTCGTGCAAAATGTCGTAAATTTCGAGCAATCTCTTTGCATATGTAAATTACGTGTTTACAGAAAAAAAGGCTCGTCATAGACGATAACGTATCGTAGGTGATCTTTTTTTTTTCTTATAATAGTATGAAATACATTTTGAACACTTGATAGTTCAAATTGTTACATCAATGATTTGTACGATGATAATTTACAATAGTCGCTGTCGTCATTTGACAGTCGATTCCATACGCGATATATAATTTTAATACAGCTTGAGACGCTTGATGAAACGGTCTGATAAAATTTTAATTACAGCTGGTTAATGTGCGTGAAACTTTGACTAATATTCAGCCATAATATCGTTGTACTCACTAAGCAGGTTTAGCAAGATTCAATGAGATGACGTAGCAGACGAGGTTGCAGCTAGCCGCTTATTAAATGGAACGTTAATTGGGATGCTGCCAATGAAAACTAGTGAAACAGTAATTTGTTAAAAAATGTTCTCAAAACAAATAATAACCGAATATTCGTTTCTTTGTAAAGATTTTTTTCTAATCCTATATCAAGGGTTGATCAGTTTCCTATTACGAGGAAGGTAACGTAATAAATATATGTATACGGGAAAAAAATTGTGTGAATAATTGAGTATCTGTATAGTATAATCGAAGTATCACTCTATACAAGCATGTGAAATACGATGATACATACGCATGGATAGCAGCTGAGACAATTAGCCGTAGAGTAATTAACGTTAGAAAAGAGATGATTACTCAGCTCGATACAGCATTGATAGAACAGACAGGTTAGTGCAAGGCACGTACGATACTTCGTGTCCCCTGTGCATTGACTTGACTTTTTATCGACTTCATTCGTATACCTGTTAGACAGTAAACTCTTTGGCTGCGTTTCGTTTCGCTTTTACGATGCCGAAATCGGGACAGCGCATTTTTGCCGTGCTGCAGAGATTACGCGGACTCGTGCGACGAATCTGGCAGGAATCGACAGGGCGGCGCAATAACGCTGGGTTAAGAATGATTAAAGCATGTAGCGTTACCGACGAATGTCTTTCTTTCGTTCTACTTTGGTTCCTTTTGCTTCCGTTTGAAAAGTGGACGATTAACAGTGAGGCCTCGCTTTGTCGGTAAGGTAGACGCTCAGTTTTTTCACGCGTATCGACGGAGTGTCGCTCCCGCTTTTTTCTCACTATTTTTTCAAATATAATTCGTCGAGTTTTTGCTGTTATTAATTATTCGTATGTCATTAATCATTTCGCAACAGTCGTCGAAAATATTTGCGAAAGAATTAAGCTTTATTCATTTGTTGAATACAATTATCATGACGTTTAATATCTGGTTAGATTCGTTGAAGCAACAAAGATAGGATTTCGATAAATTCGTAAAGAAAGTATTTAGGATGATATTCTTTCGTAATTCTATATTCTCTAGGGAAATCCGTCTGACGCGAAGTACACGTCTAGAACGTTATACGAGTATCAAGAATCTCAAAAACTCCTGATAACGATATGCTTCTAATGCGTATATTCCTTTGACGTCGATAATATCTACGATCGTCAAACGAGAATTCCCGAAACTTTACAGGAAAGCAGTCAAAAGATGCTTTCCCAAGAGATATAATATACAGTTAAATTTTTTTATACAATCATACGTGTATGTACAATAAACAGGAACGATCTACTCGCACAAGCAGCTAACGCTATCGATGAGAGAACGTTGCTGTTACCATGAGTATTTTTTTAACCACGTACTATTCAGTATTGAAGCACGTTCCTGTGCACGCGAGTCGACGCCCACTGACGTGCTAAAAATTATGCTTGAAATCGAAAGCCCATGGTCTTTCTTGGCCAACCGGTTGCCTGGTCTATCTTGTCACGATACTGTCACCGTGATAACGTGATAACGGGAAGCCGGGGCAAGCAGGTTCTTGACACACGACAGTAGAGTCTAATGGAGTCAACGGCAGAATGGAGTCGAGAGTGAAGTGGTTAGTCTAGACATACCCGGGTGGGACTGGGTACGTACTGGAGAGGATACAAGCGTTAAACTCGTAGGGGAGGGAGTAAGAGATAGTCATGATCAGGTTGGGAATAATTATGGTAGATATGTACTATCAGCTATTGTGAGTATACATATAGCGAGTGTAACCGCGTACGCGCAGGATCAACACAAGATACGATTTCCCTCGTTGTCCCCCTTCTGACCTACAGCGCCATGCGGAAAGTAGAGGCAACTACTGTCGCTGTCTCCCTGCTATACCCTAGTGTTACAGTATTTGCAAATTATCTGTAAACCTGGGGCTAAGAAGTTGTTTCAGCGTTCCAAGTGTATATAGCGAAGGTGGGCCGCCTCGAGCTACGTAACAACCTACATTTTATTTACTGCACTTTTACTCGCGTCGCTGCACGGGCGGCCTTGCTGCGGCCTGAATACCTTGCTAGTCCGCATCGACGGGCCCTTTCTATTGCCAGTCTGCGTTTTCAGCTTAATACGAACTGCCGTCGGATTGAACTGCCTTGTCGTCGCCGCTCGTTACCCTCCGATCTTCCTTAGTCGTATGGACGAGCTTTCGATGTCTTTACCGACTGCTCTTTTCTCGGTCGAGTCTGGTAGATCCGAAACGAGATTCCCCGACTCACGTCAGTCTTATGCGAGCTATGCGATCCTTGAACTCGATTCGAGTCGTCTAGCCGGGCGTTTTCATGCACATGTTCATGCTTGTCGTACTACGTATCAGCCAGTATGATCCTGGAGGACGCGGTACGTGTTATGAAATCCTCTTATTTTTTAAATTCTTTTTTCGTCAAGTCAAGATAACAAAATTATAATACCTTACAGGTTAACAAGGTTATTTATAGCGAAGATAACGATTGTGATGAACTGGTTCGATTTATATGAAATTGTCATTTTATTTGTTGCACAAGAAAACACTTTATCAGTTATTCATTGTGATTGTCACACTGTGATATTAGATTCGTTTGACGCTTGTTAAAGTTTGTGATAAGCAATTTAACTGCATACACCTTATGGATGAATACTAGAAGTGGATGCTGTGTTATGAAGGTATATATTTTACAGTTTAAGATATATAGCGGACAACATGTTAAAAGACAATTTTGCTGCGTACATGGGACTATAATAGTTCTCTTTGATGGCATTGTTATTAGTCCTGTGGCGCATTGATTATTAATGGTCTCAAAGCTGATCATGCCCGAAATGAGGTGTCATGGCGTCTCTTACGTCTCTTTGTATAACGAAGTTCACTCTTTGCTTTTCAGCCAAAAAGATTTCTTTACATTTAAGCCCCGAAAATTGGACCGGCGTTTATTAAAGATAGACCCTTCACGGTTGCGTTTCATTTCTTTAAAATGCTATGCACCTACATATTTCATAATATATAATTCGAAAGATCGACATAAACCATCCATAGCAAGGAATTCGTTGAACGGAGGAATGGTAAGAATCATCAGATGGACGATTGATTTTAAATAAAAAGAAAGAACGTTATTTTTCAACTTTTCCCCAGAGTGACAGGTACAATAGGACAAAAAGTATTTTACAAGCAATTTTAAATGATTGTCCATTACACTAGGAAATTGTGCTAGTATCATGATTGAATAACAAGAATCCTCCGTCACAATAATAAGTAAAGCTTTATAATTCTAATCGAACGGAGAGTTAGAGTTATTACAGTTTCTCGAGGTGCGACGTATTTTTAAATTTCCTACTCTTCTCGGTAAACTAAACCAATGCGATTCTCGTTTATTCACTGGTTTCGAATATATTTTGATCGAAATAAGAAACCTGTCCATACTGCTAATGCTCCGATTATTATCGCGATCAGTATCCTACATCCTTGAACCATAGACAAATAAAAAGTATACTATGAAGGAATTCAATCGGAAGTTATACATAATAAACCAGAACCATTTATTAGATGTGCGACGATAGTCAATAGTCACCAAGTACATTAAAGTAAATGACCATGCCAATGACACAATAGAAGAAGGATATATCGATTATACAGTATGCGTGGAAATTTGTGGATACCTCAACGAACCTTGTAATATAATATTCATCAACGTAGCAACCAGATACTTGCCTGAGTGGCGGTTTGGCTCGATTTATTCAACTGGACATGTAATAAGCCCAAGAGAAAAGAACAAGAAAAAATGTCAACGCCAGAGTGTGCTGCTGTCTAGATTGCACTGCGAGCGCAACATTCACTATGGTGTCAAGATAGGCCTTCTGGAATAGTACTGGAAGGAGGCACAAACGAAGAAGAAGAAGAAGAAGAAGAAGAAGGAGGTGGAGGCGGTTGCAAAAGGAAACGATGGAGTGACGGTCCAGCGAGCAAAAGAAGGTGCGAAGGAGCTGAAGGGGTCGAACGGTAAAGGTTGCGCAACAATGTACCGCCACCTGCACTCGTTTCGTCACTATACTTTAACCGTCAACCAATGGTGTAGTAGCTCGTGTTACTTTCGCCAATTAAATTTGCAGTTATTTAATTTTAATATAAAACGTCGAGATTACTGGACATTCTTAAGAAGATAATAACGAATAGCGACTGCGCACCAAGTGCGTACAAGATGATTTTAGACGATTAAACAGCGCGATTCTTATGACTCTGCTGTGTCTGTTGCTGACCATTTCGCGCATAGAAAACGAACGAGTAATTGCGCACGTCCCGGGGTCTCGAAGTTCCAGCGTCAAGTGTTACTGCTAATCATTATGGGCATGCGTGTTCAGTACAGGTGAGAGATTGCACATGCTCAGTTGCTACTAGTCGCGTGTTACGATTGTTATTGAGTCGCGGCTGACTGTCAATGGGAAATTGACAATAGTCATTCGTATGAAGCTTTTGTGTTCAACTTTATAATCTTTGCATTGTATCCCGCTGGTGAGTCCTGAAATTTTTATTTTCAGGTGTAGTTGGCAATACTTTGCTAATCGGGAATGGCGACCGTTATCAATGTCAAATATATAGGTGAGTTAATAATAATTGCGAATTTTATTTATTGGTTAACATGTATATTACAGTTGTGGAATGCGAGTAGCCGATAGTCTTTCGATAGCTTCATTAGTAGCAGTAACATTCGACTGTAAGATTATGGGTAATGCTAGCGTTACTTTTAATAATTACTGGTTTTATGAAGGGAAACTAATGTTAGTAATTCTTATGAGTTCGATGGTAGATGTAACTATGAGAAGTATACATAAACCAGTTTTTTTCAGAGAATGTGCAACAAGAGTGTGCAGAACCGATGCTTTCAAATGCGACACCCATCGAGAAGGAAATGTTGGTCAATATCAATTGCTCGATCGGGATCATAATCGATTATATTCGTGAGATTGCTCAGCTCGACGAAAAGGGTAAAGAGGTTGTGTAATGTGCAATTAGCTCCCAAGCATGTTTCGTGTCCTCTGGACTATGAGAGCAGTTATATTGGATTATTTAGAAACCTAGCGCCTAGGAATAGACTACTATTTCAGATTAATTTCACAGTTGAATTTGATTTATGCGATGAAATTACGTACCAGTTGAAAAATGTTTATTCCTTTCGGCCGTACGTGTCGGGGTTAATGATTTTACGACCGAATCTTACTTACTTGATTGTAATATTACAAAGTAAGTAGTGCATTGAAAGGAATGTCTAAATAGAAGTAATGAGATACACTTTAATTCTGTTATTTATAGGGGACTCAAGTGGGCAAATCTTAAATGCTGTACCGATAGTTCCTGAAAGAAGTACTAAAAGTATTAACGACATTGTTGCCAAGATTCGTAAACAAACTAAAAGGCAATCGGGGGCGTCGGTTAGTAAAATTATTATTGTTTAATTATGGACAAAGGAATGTAGTGGCTATAGTACTTTCTTTTGGCTCGATATTAACGCGGATTGATAGGAAGAAAATAAAGTTTAGAGGTTCAAATATTTATTCTCTGCATTGAATTGTTATAGTTATAGTCTCTTATCTTAAGTTAGCATGTTATATAATATTTATTTTTAACAATCTATTTCTGAAATTAATTTGTCAACAAAGTGTTTCAATTATACATCTAATGTGTAAAACTTTCCAAATAAATGATATTTTTATAGTAACAACTGAAAGAACAACAGGAATATTTATTTACAGAGTATACATAGCACTTACATATTGAAATCTATCAGCATTAATCAATAAATTAATGTACACAAGAGGCTACTTTTTAGAGTATTTGATAGTAACATTATTTAACCTGTTATAACAAATCATTATTTAATTCTTTAAAATTTTCTGTATTAATTTTTTTAAGATGATTACTTTTTCCATGTCTACCAACACCTTCACTAAATTTTTTTGCTCCTTTAACCCCTTCCTCGTACAAAAGGTGTGAAGAATTATCCTTTTCAAACTGTAAGGCTTCGTCGATTTGTTTAGCATTAAATGTTCCAAAATGTGCAGATGCACGGTCAGCAAGTAGAGCAGCTTGAGGAAATTTAATAATGCAATGTGCAAGGGTTATTCCTTGACCAAGACCTGTATGTAAGAGTTGGAATGGTTATTAAACTCATTTCAAAAATATATTTACTACATGGATGTGTTGTAGGAAAAAACATACTTACTTGCACCACATGGAACAAGCTGAGTTGCTAGTCCCCAATTAAATGCTTCCATGCCTGTGATACCTCGTCCTGTGAGAATCAGTTCCATGGCACGAGCATAACCTATCATGGCTGGTAGACGAACAGTACCTCCACACAACATTGGAATTCCAAATCGTCTATTAAATACTCCCATGGTTGCAGTTTCTTCAACTATTCTGAGATCACACATCAAAGCCAATTCAAATCCTGCGCCTACTGCATAACCATTTACACAAGCAATTAAAGGTTTCGCACATAAGCTTCGTCTATTTGCCTATAATTATATATTATTAAAAAATAATACAGATTATAATTTAATTCATACAAAATATACATTATCTATATTTATTAACTTACCAATACTCCAAAGTGTGGTACATTTTCTTCAGATTCTCCATCATATTTTGCAATTTCTTTGAGGTCAAACCCGGCACAAAAATTTCCACCATAGCCATGAAGAATACCCACTACTGCTTCTTCGTCTTGTTCAAATACATCTATTGCCTCTGAAAGACGTTGAGCAGTAGCTACATTCAAACTATTCTTCTTCTCTGGGCAATTAATTCCAATAGTTGTAATATTCTTAATTCGATTTACTATTATGCTCTTCTCTAAAAAAAAAATAACTGTTAATTAGAATGCTTAGAGTACTTAACCTTTATTCTCTGACATTTTTTAATATTATGGAGACACATTTTTTAAATTAACATGATTTCAAAAGGCAGTCGTCAGTTCCAAATAGGAAAAATGTTACCTTGATTTATTTCCTCTATAATATCTGGGATTGCAACTAAATTTGATGAAAAGTTTCTAATTCTAATAGGCTTTTTGAGAAGCTTCCTCAATATTAGGGGTAATCGATTTAAAGAATTCATTTGGCAATTTGTATGAACGCTGTAATGACATAAAGCGTGTAATTTATATATGGTTACACACTAAATTCGGTAACAAGTTATGAACAATTAAACTGCGAACGACTGAATCCAAAGAGGTTAAGAAATGTAAACTGATGCATGGACTGATGTCAACTAATGTAGATGTACAGACCACTTAGTGTAGATGGATGAATGTCTAGATACATACATATATAGAAGAGCGTATAAGGAACTATGATAATTATTAGAAGACGTGCACGTGTTAGAAAATAATGAATTCAAATGCCTCTCCAAAGTTAACATTTCATATTATAATAGAATTAAAAATTTAATAATCATTATAAACTGTACATAAAGAGTTTTAAATAAGATAAACCAATTAAAAGAGTATAAAACGAGTAGGTATTTTTGTAAAATTTTAAATCACGATTTGCTGTTGCGATTGTGATTGGGTGGTAAGGAACGACAGTGGAGTAGAATGAGACTACGTGGTCGAGGTATGCCTATAAAAGATGAGTCGATTTAAATTTCGGGGCTGTTTTAAAGTGACTAGGTATCAGGATCATAATACCAGACCACGACTTTCTGGGAAACTCTACTGGAGCTGAAAAATATGAGTACTATTATTATTATGTATTTAATTGATTCTAGCATAATAAATAAATAGTTTGAATGTGTTACATTGTTTGTATGTTATGCCATTTATTGAGTATTAATATTGTTCTTCAATACTATTTTATTTAATTTGATAGAAAAATCGGCTAAATTGCAGAATATGACTCCTTCTTGAAGTTAGCTGTAGAATGTTTAGTTTTTTTTTTTACATGAAGCTCTTTAATTAAGAAAGAGTCGTATTCTGCAGTTATACCGAAAAATCTTCCATATCATGTACTATGTATGTACATTTTTTTTTCACGAGATAAAATCAGATAAAATAGATTTGGCCCAATAATATTGATATGAAATCTCATAGTAATGGGAAAAAATGAATGAGTTTCATTTTACTTAATTTTGTTTAAAACAGTATTTTGAATAACTATAGTCCATAAACGAGTTCGTATATAGGTTCATGTATTTACAAATGTATAATTTCTGTAAATAAGTATATATGTATAGGCAGTTTTAAATAGGCAATCGAATCTCCTATAAGTTACCTTCCTAAAAGTTATAAAACCCCACATATTACAAATCTACTTGTCGTAAGTAATGTCCCTCCATTCTGATTTCCTTCTATTACTCATGCATTAATCATGCATTGAACTGTTTGAAGCACAATCTGAAAACAACACTGAAAGCCAGCTCCTTATGCATACCTGCACTGAAGCGTATGGTGCGACTAGTATCCTTAATAGGTATTTTACTGATGTTACGTAGCAGAACTATTGTTAAAACCTACCAGGAACTATAGAACTCCTCGAGAACCATTGAAAAAGCCTATTGTTGAAACATTTTTAGGAGATTTTAAAAAAGTGTGATGCTGGAGCTGACACCCGTGTAGCATCTCAATATTTGAACAATGTTTCAACAATAAGCTTTTTTAAGAGTTATAGGAGAGTTTTATAGTTCCTGATAGGTTTTAACAATAGTTCTGCTACGCAATACCGTTAAAATGTGTACTTTCCAAAAATTGAGGTGGCAGTCGTCCATTTTTATCTAAAATACCATTAGGGGCACTGGGACGTTAATTAAGGTCATAGCAGTCTCCTGAGCTTATCCCTACCCTTATCTGTCTTTTCGTTATCAATTATTATTGTTCCCATAAATTCATTTTATTGCTTAACATTTATATAAAATACTTAGCGCAATACACTACACACAATTATTTTAGATGTATTTATACGCTGGTACATGGGTAAGTGTTGTGCCGTGATTTTTCGATTCACGGTCACAAGGCGACTCCGGCTACCGATGCAGATAACGTTCTCCATCTCAAAGCTGCGCTCTCGGGTTGATTCGTATAGGTATACCAATGCTCTCGTAAGATTTCGTTATTGTTTAGTTGACGTCCAGGTACTCGAATCTGCCGTGGGGAGATAGTCTCGACGTAGCGAGTTGCCCGGCAGAGGAGAGTACCTGACGGAGACGTCTCCACTGACCGGGAGAAGCTCGGGTGAGATGCTGGCGCTCCGCTGGAGATGGGCAAAGGGCTGTCGAGCAAGCGGAGATAACGTTTCGTTACGATAAGGGGAGGAACTTCCTGCCCGAGTTAAAGATGTGGACCAAGCTCCCAGTTACGACTCGGTGGGACTCATGCATTGCCGTCTCACTCCCACTCATGCGTTCGAACAGGACGCACCGTACGACGCTATCGTGTCTCGCTCGCACCATAGCGCTACCTGCGTTTCACGCACCTATCCTGGTACATACGTCCGTCAAACAGTCACTGTCCACTCTTTTCTCTTATCTCACCGCACTGCATCAACAAGCTGCTAAGGAACGCTCTCCACTTGATTCAAAGGGACGGCATGAGGGAAAGGAAGAGTTATAAGGATCTCAACAAATTGGATAATAAGAATTAGTTCTCGAATTTGGCTATCATCAAAGCAGTCTATCTCGTTGATAA